TATTTATACAAACTTCTGTGTAAACAGAACCATCAACTCATAAGAAATGGTTTATTTAAGCTCTCTGCTTCTCTATATTGTTTTATAAAACCAATAATAATGAAGTAGGCTATTCTGTAGAAACACTCAAGTTTATATTCAGCCACTTGCTTCTTTAAGAAAAGCATTATATTAGTTTTCTCCCTCTTGAAGACAATTTGGCATTTTACTGCAGGTTAGTTCCAAATTCTGAAAAACATTTAAATTATTGTGAGTCATTCTTCCTACTGTATTCCATTACAAAGTTATAAAAATGTCAATAGCAAGGCAGTCTGAGCATTACAGCAGGGAATTAATCATTGCCCTGTATACCTTGTGATAACACACTCAATGCACAGGAGGAGCACAACATCAAAATCAACACGTATCAGTACTTCAATCAGAAATCCTGTTAACACTACCTTCCCCAAATATCATTTCAAGCAGATAAAGTGGGATGACTGCAGATACATTTTTAAAAACCACTTTTCAAAGCTGTGTAGAATAGAGTTTACTTGGAGGAGCCATCACAGACTTCAATCTGTTGAACGTGAATAAAGACTTTGGTTGAAGTTTTACAAACTTTGTCACTTTGGCATGCTCTTTCCTCCAAAGAACAAAGTGTCTATGAAAACAGTTTTGACTTTTATTGTTGCATCAGAAGGAAACCAACATGTATTACATCAGCCTTGGCACTGAGTATTTTCACAGCAAGCTGAGCCACATTTAACTTATGTGACTTAACTGCAGGGAGGAGAGATGGAGAACTATGGTGCATTGAACCCCAGACACAGTCATTTGGACAAAGTGGTATTATTTTACGTATTACTAAGAAACAAAAACACTGCCAATTAATTATTAAACACTGTTGGTTATAGGGCACATTCTGATTTCAGAGATATTAAAATATGAAAAGGTCTGCATCTTAGAATTGATAAATATGGAATTAGAATAGTGCTGGTGGTTTATACTGTATTCCATGCAATAATAATAAACCCTAGAGTGCACAAAATACTAGCCTTGAATTTATCTTCCTTTGGAAGATCTTCCCTACCTTTTCTAATATTCACAGATAGGCTTAGTGATGACCAAGTTAAGTACTTCCTATGACAACTTTTTAAAGGGGTCTCTTAGATTGAGTTGACAAGTAAAATACAAGAAGCCAAATTAAATTTGAATTTTTAGATAAACAAATAATTTTTTAGTATAAGTATGTAAGTATGTCCCAAATAATGTATGACACATCCTTATATGAAAGAAAGAAAGAAAAGAAAGACATGAATGTTCTGTGTTTGTTTTTATTTGCTAAATCTGGCGACCATGTCCCAGGATAATTTTGACTGTACCACATGCTTTTTACCGTAAGACCTTAACTTTTACCCATGAGAAGCCTCCGCTTACAATGTATTCACGCCTTACAACAACCCTGAGAATTAGGAATTACTTTGGGTCATTTTAGAACTGAAGGAGCCAAATTTCCTCCCCAGGCTTGGATGTTTCATTAGAATTTACTGGTTTGGATCTGAATTCTGATCACAACTTAATTTTTTTACAGGGTCATTAAGTCCAAAAGATACAGATGATACAGATCATTAGGAAACTATGAACATAGGAAAATTACTTTATTCCTGGAAACAACCTCTGTGGGGCAGTTATTGGTCACTGTCGGTCAGTGCATCCAGCCTAAAAATAATAATAATGATAATGGCAGCAGCAGCAAATTCTATGCATCAGGCACACTTACTATGCACATCACTGCTCACAATTCTTCTCTTACTCCTACTTTGGGGGGGAAACTGAGGCATAAAGCAGTTGAAGGAGCTTGTTCTCCTCATTATTAAGCCACCTAACCCTCATCTTCTTGGAGAGCCTTGTTGGAGGCGCCATAGATAAAACCCTCTCCCCCATCACTTTTTATTAGGACACTGTTTGTGAAACCAAGGTGACTCTCAAAAGCCTTTGCAACTAGACTAGCCCTGTCCAGCACGCTTCCCATTTGGTAATCCCATCTTACTAAGAATCACCATTTGGTGTCTACCTTCCCTATCTTGATGCCCCATGAGGCCAGTAAAGGGATCTGTCTAGTTCAATGTTCTAGAGCAAGGGCCAGGTAGGCCTGGCACTGCAAGAACAGCTTACATTTCTGGTGTGTTAATGAGTAGTTCACCACCTTACCCTAAGGGCAGCCTAAGTAATCTGGAAGGTTCATGGGAAGTGAAACTTCCCCATTAAAGTTCACCCAAGGCAAATCATGCCTTTTAGATAAACTACTACTTAAGATCATTAGGGCTTTCTCTCTGAGTTCTTAGGTTGCTTCAGGGAAGCAGAACTTGACTCTAAAGTGCAGCATTTTTATTTTTCAGGTCTCCCAGGTGGCTCTTCTAGGACACAAGTCTTGTCTACCAGAGCCTTTCCAGGTTTCCCATTGCTAAAAACTCATTCAAAGGGTCCTGAATTGGATCAGCATCTTAGTGTTGTTCAAACAAGCCCTGTGGCCCAGACTCCCCATGGACAGAGCATAAACAGGAAGCAGTTCTAGAGCAGAGTTTACAAAGGACAGCTTTGATACTGTTGATAGGATGACAAGCAATGTGCTTAAAGCATGTGTACTCTTTCTGTTTGTGTGTGGTTTCTATCGACACACACGTCTCCCAAATGCAGTGTTTCTCAGCAGTAAGTATGCCTTAGAATTGCCTAAGAAGATTTTTTTAAAGATCCTGAAGCTCAGGCTGCTCCAGACCCATTAAATCAGAATCCCCGGGGGTGGGTTTTATTTTTTAAAGCTTCTCAGATGATTCCAATGGGTAGCCAGGGTTGAGCACCACTGTTCTAAAGAAAGCAATGTGCTTCCATGTGGGGCTTTTAGGAAGGGAATTTCAGTTTTAAAAACTATGTACAACACAGTTTTGCAAATATTATTAGTTTTTATTTATTTCCTGTTTCTCATAAACAACTTCTAAGGGTTGGCACAATGTTGCCATCTGTAAGACATATGACAATAACAGACGGTCGCCTAATAACCAGAAAGGCATTAACATTCACAGGCTCTAAATTATTTGGACTCATCTGGTATGATCTGTTTTGATGAGGCCACTTAATGCTTGATTTCTGTGTCTTCTAATGGAAGCACCAAAAGTAGGAAGGCCATATTTCCTGGGCTTTGTGTGGTTCTTTGTCATCCTATTGAATTGTTACAAGATGGATTTATAACAGACCTAAAGGTAGTATCAAAATGAAAATTAGCTCTTGAGTAGAAGAATAGCAATTTCGTTTGACTTGCCTGTAGCAACTGCGTCATGTTTGCTCTGCAAGGAAGGAAATGACTTCTTAATGTGGTTTTCTTCCACTAAGGAGAATTAAATCTGCATGGCAAAATGTAAAACCAGTGTGCTGGCAGCCAAATACTGAACGGAAGATCCATGACCCTCATAAATGTATTTGTGACCTGGTTATATGCTAATGAACCTCATTTAGGCCCAGACTTACCCAGAGTGAAAATACAGCTCAGCTGGAGACCCAGGCTGTGGTTCCCTCACTGTCTTGCCTTGTGTGTCAAAGTTTCTTTGCTCTAAAACAAATGGGACAACTTCTCCATCTGGTGCAAGCTACGAGGGTGGGGGTCTCTGGGTTAACTTCAAGTTTTTGGCCGAAAATAGCAAATGCTATTATTTTATTTTACTTTATTGCTGATTTGGCAATAGTATTTTCAAAGGATTGACTTTTGGGTGAATACACCTGGTGGAGCAGAATTCCACCGTATCCGTGGGATTATCTACTCTTTTGTGATGCTGTAGCTCTTTGAGATAAAAAGGCAAAATTTGTTAAGGACAATCCTGGCACCTATCACTACCTAGCTGGGTGATTTTGGACTAGAGAATGAACTTCCTCAGACCTCCATTTCCTCCTTGGTAACATGGGATTAAGTAGCATCTGCCATATAAGTTATTGTAAGGATTAAATTAAATAATGCATCCCAAAAAACCATCCTTCATATCATAAATGCTAGCCATCATCGGTGCTGTTAGTTTGTTTGTCTCAGGATCAAATCACTTAGCACAAAACACTACACTGTGCATCCTGTAAGGAATGAATATATAGCCTTCAGCATCTTACTGTGTTGGAGCCACACATGGAAATCACAAATTTAGTTAATGAAATTGAATTGTAATAGGAGATTAAGGGGAAAAATTGAGTTCTTCTAAGGAAGAGATTTCTGAGAACACCCACTCTCTAATAGAATTGAAGTTTTATTCACTCTATATGTAAATCTGAGACACAAAAATTTTTTCAAATACATTTACCTATGATCTGAAGAAGATTTTAATATGATTTCATTGACTAAGACTAGTTGTTAATTTTTTGGTAAGTTGTTTTCTCATGTAATTTCTTTTACTGTTTCCCTACTTGAAGCCTCTCTTGATGGAAATGCTTATTACTTAATTCTGATGACCCTTGTGTTATTATTATCGTGTTATTATCATACCTTTGCTTGGGCTATCTTGGATCACTGGACAAAGCTGCTCAGCACTCATATGGGAGAGGCTAAATTTAAGAGAGTAGTAGTAATCCATAAGCCAGTTTGCAGGAATGATTATGAGTATGAGGTAAAATCAGTGCCTCCAAAATCTAGGAAGTAAAATAAATGAGTGATATCTGTCAAACAGAAGAAAATTAGAGAGTGATGGAGATCGTGGTGATGGCAAATAAACCCCCTCCATACCCCCATCCCAATCTGTGACCACCACTCTCATACTCAACAGATGGCTACAAGGCAGCAAATGGCCACAGTACAGCCTAATGTGATTCTCTTGTTAGAGAGGAAAAGTGATTCTTATGTGAAACCTCTTCATTTTCAACTTTTGGCAACTAAAGTCATTCAAAGACATACCTATTCATTACTAATTTACAAACTCTGCTCAGTCCTCGCCGCCATATTTGTTCAAGGAGCCATTTATAAGCCTATTACATTTTTTTCTTCAAAGCTCCAGAAACATGACAAAGAGGAGGAGGACTCCCCGGCCTTTTGGAGATCAGAGGAGGAAATGGCAGCAGAGGCTGCAGCTCTACGGGTCTACTTTCAGTGATTCAGGTAAAGAATGCATTTCATAATCACAGAGGCCTCCAACAGGCCTCAGGAAAACGACTCCCCGCTGAGAATGGGGACTTGGGAAAGCACCTTCACCAACATCCTTGGGTGGTGACTATAAAGGACAAAAAGCTGAAGTGAAGAACACCCTCTCCTTTGAAGCATGTAGGGCCACCCTGTCTCTTCCTCCCTGCCTCCACCAACTCTCCTGTCTCTTCACTGCCATGGAGCTGGCTCCCCCAGCATACCATGACCATTTTGTAGTCTCTTCTGCAGTGGTGCTCCTCTCTACTCCAGTCTCCACAAATCAGATTGTTTGCAATGCAAACCTGATCCTTTAAAAGGTCAAAACCATTTAAGGGTATGACAGTCAGGCTCAAGTCCCTCTGCAAGGCCCTGTCAACCAGCCTTCTCTGCTTCCCTCCCTACTGTTTCAGCCACACCCCAGGCATACTTCTGCTTTCACCTGGGGACTCTTCTCAGTTCCAGTTGGTAAATTGCCCCTTGTGTTTCCCTTTAACTTTAGGCTACTAGGAAGCTCAGGCCACACAGGGAAAGGTCAGAGCTTAGTAGAATTAATCTTTGCATTAATGAAGTGTAACTGCTGGGAAATCGTAGGTCTAAGGTTCTGGTAGAAAGACAGCCATAACCAATCTCCTTGTCAAAATGCATCTATACACTGAATTTTTGTATGATGTCTAAGAAGCTCAGGTCTAGACCTCTCTGGCAACCCCTATTACCCCTCCTAGTCTCAATTCCCACATCTGACAGCTGGGAAGACTGAAGGTGATTTGTTTGGTCTGTAAACAAAAATTCTTCGAGGTACAAACGCATCTTCTGAAATCTGTTTATAAACAGAGTTGCCATGCGATACTGGGACATGTCTAAACAAAAACAGTTATTTTATTTGTTGTTTATCTGAAATTCCAGTTTAATGGGTGACTTATATTTTATCTGGCAGCCCTGTTAATAAACCTCCTTGGAGATGATGGCCCCCAGTTAAAGATCCTCTCCATTAAAGTTTCTTTTTCCTTTTTAAAATTAGATAATTCCAAGTTAAAATTAGACAATTCTTCATCTGGCCTGTGAATAAATGTGTTCATATTATAAACTGCTGAAGTAGATCAGATACAAATTAAAAACGAAATTAGTGAACAAATACTGGTAGCAATTGAGTTGTATACAATTCTATCAACCACCCAGTGATCATAATTTTTAGCTGGAAAACACATTCATTGTATTCTGACTTCACGTTGAAATGTAGGTTTTTATTAGATAGTCAAAAATATATGTACATTTCTTGGTCTTTCTCTCCCCAGCCCCTTTGGAAAGTATTCTAATTGCATAAGGATGCAGACTACCTCTCCCTCCATTATTGTTAAGTGTAGCATCGGACTCAGGCCCTTGCATCCTGGAAAGCTTATTTCATTCTGCCATGTCATAGGTTTGTCAGCTCTGCACTCAATTGCCGGAGGGGAGATAGCTTGTGGTGTAGCAAAAACTGTCTTTCATATTTTGGTTTTAACATTTTCTTCTGTTCACCTTCTCTCTCTTTAAGGATTAACCTAGTTTACCTGAGAACAAGGCCTATGGGCATGACTGCAAACCTTGTTCTAGTCCCCTTCTGCAAGCCAGTGTGTCATTTTAGAGTGCTCTGTTCAAATTCAAACAGGGTCACAATTCTTCAGACTTGACTTTCTAGGTTGAATTCTTTTTTCTGGGTTGCCTATGCAATGGTACTTAGAGAGGCTAGTAAGCTCGGGCTTGCTGAACTGTAGGATTCTGCCTTAGAATGCATTTTCTAGACATTTTAAGAAGATTTAAACTTATCACCCAAATTTCCTATATGCTTTGCTTTATCAGTTTTTGCTTCTGTCTTGCCTTGAGGCCTGACGTCTCCTGATTTCCAGGTAAATCAACATGCCTTGTAAGTCTTGCCAGAAAGATATTCACCCCAACTTGTTATACAGACAATTGCCATAGTACCTGTGGATTTTTAAGTTAAGCAACATTTGTATCTCTCTTTAAAAATTTTTGTTTACAGATCATAGTATTCCCAGCAGTCAGATGTGGTAACTAAGACTAGGAGGGATAATATAGGTTGCAAAATAGCAGAAAACTAAGTGTCCTAAAATTTTGCCAAGAGATTTTTACCTGTAGGATAATGGGACTAGATGTACTTCCTTTAATACATATGCTTCCCTTTAGTACATATACTTCCCCTTAGACAAAGGGGAAATAAAACATTCCCTTGAAACTGTCCTTACAGGCTTTACAAGAATGCCAGGTTCTAGACAGAAATATAGTTATAACTAAGCATTAATTGGGGAGCACTTTGGCCAACTTCCTTGCAATCAAAAGTCACAGGAGCATGAGAAACTATTTTGTATTCCCATTGTTCCTATAGAGGATCTCTGATCTTACTTATAATCATAAAGCTTTTGTGTGGAAATCGCTTAACATGTTTTTTCCAGATTCTGAATTCCAACAGAATGACTGATGCCAACCAGTCTGAAGACACCCATGGAGGAACTGAATCAGCATGAGAACACAGTTTCTTCGTGTCGCCATCCTATGACGTCACCCTGCACTCTTCAACCCAATCAGCAATCCCTACACCTTGGCTCACTCCAAACCCCTTAAAATGCCTAGCCCCAAAAGTTTCAGAGAGGCCAGTTTGAGGTTTTCTATGGTCTCCTCATTTGGCAACCTTATGATTAAACGTCTTTCTCTGCTGCAACAGGTGTGTCAGTGTATTGACTTGCTGCACGTCAGACAACAGACTTGTTAATGGTTATGTTCTTTTGGTAGAAACTTGATTTTGGGGTTGTCCCATCTGGTTCTTTGACACCCTATGCCCCCCTTTTAAAAATGTTTCCGTACACTGAATTTTTATTCGTTGTTAAGTGGCTCATGGAACCCTTGAGATTTGTTAATAACTAGGGCAATCAGGCAACATTTGGACATACCTTGATTTAAAAATTGTTATCTGAAATTCAGATAGACTTGGCCTTTCCCAGATTTCCTGAGTATTCCCTCAGTAGCATGTCATTCTTAAGCAGAGCAAGTTTAAGGACTGTGATGGCACTTACTCTGCAAGACTGCACAATTCTCAAAATGCAGAGGCAGACATGATGGCACTCAGCCCTGGAACTGATAGCAGTAGCCAACAGTTACTGAGAATTCAGGAGACATAGTTTCTGTCTTGTAGGTGATGAGAAATAGGCTTAGTAATGTTAAGTGTTATTCCAAGGTAAATGGTAAGTAAGTGATGAGACTCAGATTGAACCTAGGCAGTCTCACCCAAAAGGCCATCCTCCTAGTCTTTATACTGTCCACCTTGCTAAAAGAGATCATTTCTCCGGTCCTTCTCCCTGTTGCAGCTCCTCTTGCACCTTCCAAATATTCTTTTTAGCATCTTCATCTTACTGGCCTTTCTAGTTCTGCTGGGAGGACCTCCTGCTGGACTTTCTTGCCCACTTTGTTAATATCCATGTCCAGCACCTGCCTCCCTGGCCACACTACAGCCAGGTAGTAGAAACCAACATGGGCCCTGGCTCTCCCCAACTGACTTTACTCTACTTACAAGTTTTTCAGAGTGTGCTAATTCCTGTCTAGGCTGCCCTCCCTCTTTTTTCTACCATATGACTGCATGCCTAAGTAAACATGACCTTGAGTGAAAACAATGTTTTCCAAATTTCATCCATTCTCGTTTGTCATGGTTATTCTTAACTTTGTGGATCACCTAGGGCATTATTTACTTACTATTTACTTGACTCACTTTTTAAATGCTAGAAAATTTATCTTAAACTGTATTTCTTAGCCTCAGTCACGAATGAGTACTACTTGTAATTAGAAGTCGAGCATAAAAGTAGACATAAGAGAAAAACAATACTGATAAATTCCAGTTCTGCATAGTTGCTTGCTTGTAGCTACCAGGACTATGATCATTCTCTCTGTTAAAAAGTGAGACTGGGCTGGGCATGGTGGCTCATGCCTGTAATCCCAGCACTTTGGGAGGTGAGAGGATTGCCTGAGCTCAGGAGTTCAAGATCAGCCTGGGCAACATGGCGAGACATCTCTACAATTTAAAAAAAAAAAAAAAAAAAGCTGGCATAGTAGTGGTGCATGCCTGTAATCCCAGCTACTTAGAAGACTGAGGCAGAAGGATCACCTGAGCCCAGCAGGTCGAGGCTGTGGTGGCTGTGATCATGCCACTGTACTCTAGCCTAGGTGACAGAGTGAGATTCCAACTTTAAAAAAAAAAAAAAAAGTGGGGCTGGCCATAATTACAGAAGCATTTAATTCCAATACCAAACTGAGACTCTCCTTCGACCTATTCAAAAGGATTAAAAGAGAATAACCTACTCAGAGATTCAATGTAGCTTACCTAAAATTATCTTAAACAGGCATATGATTCCCACCTTTGGAGAAACAGCAGAAAAGGACAAATTTCAAACCCAAAGCAAGCTGGCTGAGACCCATTCCAATCCCTAAGCCAGTATGCCATCTTTCTTACCAGGCATATAGAGAAGATTAGGCATAAGAGTCAGTTTCCCTAGGGCTGACAGGTCACTATTTTGTCGTTGGTTAGAGGACAACAGGTAGGAAGCCATGTGCCATACTCTGCTATCTCCCATGGTCATTTAATCTCTAGGCTGATTGGATTTGTTCAAAATCACTTTTTCTTCTGAGAGACTAATTCCCAGGGATTTCCCTTAATATTATGTTTGCCAATCATCTACCTCGAAAATCAACAGCTTGCACAGAAGAATGTGAACACTATACCTGGAATTGCGCTGTATAGGAAAAAGACTATAATAGCAAAGAGCTACTCTTGGCTGAATGTTTGATGTGGACTTATCTAGCAACTCCTTGATAAGTAAATCTATATCTTCTTTATATCCAAATCCAGATTAATCCCCAGAGTGACAAGAGTGCCATTAAAACCACAAAGGTAAACATTCCAAAACCATAAACTGCCTCCTCGGCCTCTCAAGGCCATCAAAGCACTGACATTAGATTATTTGTGTGGAAGGATTCTATCTTTCTATTACACTGTAGGAAGTTTTGGTGTTTAGTCACTCTCTGTGTCCTTTGCCTAATGACTTTGAATCAGTTTCTTGAGCAGTAGTGAAAAATAGACATTGCCTTTGCCTTGCACACGGGGGTCTACAGTCCAAGGGTTGAGGCTGGCTATCTTTTGGTTCCAGGAAGTCAGCATCTGCTTTCTGCATAGGTAAATTTATACATTGGCTCCTCACTCTCTGGGCTGAGTTCTGGTATAAGTGTTTTGCAATGGCTCTTTTAGTCTGTGTTCTAAATCACATTCAATGTTGGTAGACCTGCATTACTTATTTAACATCACCTCCTTTCTGGAGCATAGTAATTCTTTATGCAGGATTGAATACTTGGATTTGCTGCTTCTACACATCCATGTGGCTTAACTTTAAAGCAACAAGTGTACTAGGGGGAATATTCTGTCATTTCCCAGTCCCTACTCCTACCTCATGTTGGAATTGAGTGGGGTATGTTGTTTATAAAAGATGTAAACAGCACCCCTAACTCTGATGGAAAGTCAGAGCAGGGCAGGTTTCCACACCCTGTTGTGTCAGCAGACTTTATTTGTAATTCATCAAACTCTCCTCTGTGCACATCATTATTTTATAGATAATTGGTTGCCTCTCGTTTACTCATAATAGAGCCAAGCAATTTCAAAAGCAACTGAGTCAGCCCAAAACAGCATTATTAGTAGTTATAGATGTACTGTCAAGGCAAAATTTCAACACTGGCATTTTTTAAAAATCACCATAATTTCAGCCACTGGACCACACTTGTATCATAATTGTGGACAGTCAAGGTGGATGAGACAAGACAGGTTTGCCTGTTTAGCACATATTCCAGTCTCTAAATTGTACCTTTTGAAATCTACCCCAAATCTCAACCTTCTTAGAAAGGTTCAACTCTCAGCACAGCAGCTTCTGTTGAGAAAAGGCTAGGAAGCCAACCATAGTATTCTCATGCTTTCTTAAGGAAGGGTTTTGTTTTTGTTTTTTGGGGTTTCGATCTGTCCCCCAGGCTGGAGTGCAATGGCAAGCTCATGGTCACCTCAACCTCGACCTGCTGGGCTCAGGTGATCCTTCTTCCTCAGTCTTCCAAGTAGCTGGAACCACAGGCATGCACCACCACACCTGGCTAGTTTTTTGATTTACTGTAGAGACAAGGTCCCACCAAGTTGCCCAGGCTGGTCCCAAACCCCTGAACTCAGGCAATCCTCTCACCTCCACTTCCCAAAGTACTGGGATTACAGGCATGAGCCACTACACTTATCTTGAAAGGGGTGGTTTGTTTTGTTTGTTTGTTTGTTTTTTGAGTTGGAGTCTCACTCTTGTTGCCCAGGCTGGAGTGCAGTGGCATGCTCCTAGCCACTGCAGCCTCGACCTTCTGGGTTTAGACAATCCTTCCACCTCAGCCTTCTAAGTAACTGGAACTACAGACACATGCCACCATGCCTGGTAGTTTTTGTGATTTATTGTAGAGAAGAGGTCTTACCAAGTTGCCCATGCTGGTCTCGAACCCCCAGGCAGTCCTCTTGATTCAGCCTCCCAAAGTGCTGGATTTCAGGGAAGGGGTGGTTTTTAACTTCAGCTTCATGACCAGTTCCATCCTAAACCCACTGGATAATTTCCATGTGGGATTCTCATCAATACCGATGTAAGTGTTTGCCAACTTTCTTTCAGTCATTCCCAGATTGATATGATAATAGATTTTCTTTAGGATGAAGGTATAAGAGAAGATGCTTGGTTTAAGGCTTTAGCTAAATTAACATGTTCCAAAGCTCTTTGCCCAAAAAGAACCCATTGTTTTAAAAGAAGCAAGAAAAGAGATTTCAGTTTGCTTTTTCCTTCCTTTCCAGGTCATGTTTCTTTTGTATTGGGCTACCTCTCCCCCCATTCTACTTAGGTTACAGTTCTAGAGCCTGATTTTAGTAGCAGAGAATTAAAGACTCTATTACTTGGATTAGATAAATATAAACCAAGTCCCTGTTGCCTAAATTAAGGATGATAAACCACAGTATCATAGAGACCTTATAAATCATCAAATCTAAAGTCTCATTAAATGATTTATTTTACAACAACTCAAAAGAGTGTCCAACCAGCTATACTTAAAAAAACCTCCCTTTATAAATATTCTCCAAAATGGATTCTTCATTTAGTTTAATTATTTGTAAAATGATTTACCAAGAACCAACTTTCTCTAACATGTACCCAGTCATTCAGGCAAAAGAATTTCTATAGACCACTGATGGCTAAAGAATTTGCAGAATTCTTCTTTTGAGATCTAGTTCTACTGGTAAGTGAAAAATGACTACTGTCCTGTAGTTAATTTTAACACTTAGGAATCTTGAAACTACAAGGTCCATCGGCAGTTTTTTTCATAAAAGCCAAAAATAATTGTTTAAAAGTTTCAGGCTTTACTTGCACCTTGTAAAATGGTAACATAATGAAATAAATTCTATCACTGTCATCCTCATCTTCATCCTCATCTTCAGA